CACACTCTTGGATGAGGCCATTGTGAAACCTGGAACACAATGTGGAGGTCTTCCACACCATCCCAGCTAACTTAAATGCAACTATTAATAATAACACTTTACAAAAAAATAGAAAAACTTGGGCAAATGGTAAACTTGGACAATAGGACCATGTGTTCCTGGCAAATTGAGTTCTATGGTTACCTTACTTCAAGGTGTTTCTATTCCCGCAGCTATATTCAAACAAATGGTATTTGACTTAAAATATCGGTTAAAAATAATCTTAGTTTATTGGCCTTGAATAAGTAAAGAAAATAATTTTTAAATGAGAATAAATATCAGTACTTATAAAATGTTTGTGTTCAGCCCCAGCTGGTTTGGCTCAGTGGATAGAGCATCAGCCTGTGGACTGAAGGGTCCTGGGTTCAATGGGACTCTCTCACATCGATGTTTCACTCTTGTGTTTCTCCCTTTCCTTCCACTCTACCTAAAAAATCAATGGAAACATATCCTTGGGTGAGGATTAATCAAAAAAATGTTTGTGTTCAAAAACAAAATCAGACCATTTTTTTGCACATTCTGCATATGTGAAAAATGTGTTCCGGAGGAAAGAGTGACTTCCCTCTCATCGCACAGATGTGCTGCAGAGGAAGGCTGAAATACAGATCGTGTAGCTCCTTCCAGTGCTCCTCTGTTTATTGTTTCATTGGGTGGTGTTATTTTAAGCGATGTGTAAAGCCTTTCCATGGATGCTCCATCGTCTTGAGATCAACATTAAACATCCTCAGCTTGTAACTCAAAATCCATCATGCTCTGACTGATTCCTTACTCTAGACTTATTTTCCTCTCTACACTGTCCTTTATGTTCTTTCTCAGCCAACTATGATACTTTCCATTGTTGGTAACATGCTTCCTGCCTCTGTGACTTTGCCATTGTCTCTACCTAAAATGTTTTTTAGCTCATGTCTTCTATTCATTTAGCAAGTATTTATTCATTGTCTATGAATGGGACTTTAGACTTTGTGCTGGCATAATGGATTGGTAATGAATAGATAAATAAATGGATAAATGAGGAACCTTTATCAATTTGATGAATAGACAAGAACTACAGTGGGGTGAGACACAACATTCCAGGTTAAACTGGTCACATGAGCAAATGGCATAAAGGCATTCTCAGAGATTCCTTTCTCCTTCTCCCTTACTTTTTGGTTTGTTGCAGATCAAAGCAAAAGTTGGAAAGTGACCTCGATCCATTTAATTATTTTTACATTCAAGCTGGTTGCACTAAATGTCTCAATAAAAAGTGAAAACCAGACCATAACATGGTTACAAATGGCAGAATTCCAGGTGGGGCTGTGGCCCATTTTCTAGGACACACTTAAAGGCCCCCTTCTCAAGGATGCTTTCCTTCATACTGCAAACCCACTCCAAAAGGTGTGATCTCTCCCTCTTTGTCCTCCATAACACTTAATATCCACATTTGTTTGCATTTATTTATTTCTGTCTTGTATTTGTAGTGAAAAATGGCTCCTCCTTGTCCTTACATCCTTTACTACATTGAGAGCCATCTGAGGACAAGGCAGCAGGAGGTATTCGTTTTTGCAGCACCTGCCAACACACCCTTAGTGTTCTGTAATTTGACTGGAAAATTTAATCTATTATTTGGGTGCATTTTAGCTTACCCATTTTCACTCAGTTGCTTGCAAAACATAGAACTATTACTTCTTTTATGTGGGTAACACTTTCCAGCCCCCTTGTCATTGGCCTCCAGCCATGTAAGTTTCCATTTGATTCTTTAAGCATACTAAACCCTTTTCTACTTAATGTCCTCCACACATATTGGTTCTTCTGCATGAAACACCCAGTCCTTTTCCCAGTGCATGTGCATATGGTGAACGCACACCACGCCCCCCTCCCCCCACACATAAGCACACAACACACATATACCACACTACACACCACACACACACACTACATCATACACACACCACACACCACACGCACCACACATCTATACACCACACACACACCACACTACACCACACATACATTGCACACATACTACACATACACCTTCTACATGGCAGGGTCCTTCCCAACTTTCAAGCCTTAATCTAAATATCGGCTTCTCTGACCACTCTATATTGACTACCCTTTCCTCAGTATGCTAACTCATGCCATGAAACTCCACCCCTCCTTTTAGTGTATTTTAAAGTCTGTCACAATATACTTATTTGTATATAATCTGTCTCCACAACTAGATTATAAACCCCCTAATGGCACAGAGGCCTATTTCATTCACCCCGTACCCTGGTGTTTAACACAGTAGTTGGCCCTTGGCATATACTTGTGGAGTATATGAGGTTCAGAGTGCTTTTACAAAACTTGCTCCTTCCTCCAACTCTTCCTACAATCCTGAAAGTTGGAGGTGACAGGTGAGACTGTGCCTATTTCACACGGAAGGATGCTGAGCCTTAAGGAATGATCAACACCCTGCAATGAGTCTGTGAAGAAGCTGTGCTAACCTCTCGATGTGTATGTAGCTCGTTATCTACAACCTCTGGCCAACACTCTGCTCTTTCCAAACTGGACACATGGTTAACACATGCTGTTAGCATGACTTTGACCAAGGACTTCTCAAATGCCCACTTGGGCAAGCAGCCTACAGTCCGAAGCAGGCACGTGCTGTGGGCTCTGAAATGGGAAACCTTCCGTGTGTCACAGCTGAGAGCACTGCTCGGGTATTTAAAGCAAGCCCTTTTTAAAACATTAATGACCTGCGAGAGGAGAGAAGAAGCTGCCTGTGGAATGTGGAAAGAGGAGCCAGATGACCACAGCCCTGGTCCCTCTCCAGGTGATGTCATCATCGGTCTCAATAATAAATTTGTAACAACGTGGCTGAGAGAGATGGGACATGATTTCAACATAAGTCAAAGGAGCTGGTGGCAGCAGAATCTAAAGGGAGGAATATTTTTTAAATGGCTGGCATACTAGTACAGTTTTCTGTCCCCTGGGTAAGTAGATTATCCAGAGAGCTGGCAGAAACCACAGGGAGCTCTGGCTCTGGGAGCCTATAGTCCCAAGCCCACCAGAATAGTCTGAGTGGAAGCCGACTCTTTGCTGTTGTGTCAGCTAAGCATGCCCTTCTAGCTTGAAAAAGGAGAGCTGGGACAACACTAAACATGTATCATAAGAGAAAATCCCAGAGAAGGTTTTTCTCAACTATATAGGACCTCGCCATCTTTCTTGTTCCTCCCAGAGCTATTAATGGTGACTTCTCTCTGGATTTGGTCTAGAGCCGTGGTCGGCAAACCGCGGCTCACGAGCCACATGCAGCTCTTTGGCCCCTTGAGTGTGGCTCTTCCACAAAATACGTGCAGGCGCGCACGTACAGTGCGATGAAACTTCGTGGCCCATGTGCAGAAGTCGGTATTTTGTGGAAGAGTCGGTATTTTGTGGAAGAGTCGGTATTTTGTGGAAGAGCCACACTCAAGGGGCCAAAGAGCCACATGTGGCTCGCGAACCACGGTTTGCCGAGGCACAGTTTGCTGACCACTGGTAGAGTATACAATCCCTTACAAGGTTCATGTTGATCTTGGCTATTTCACATGTGTTCTCAGTTACTCAAGGTGTCTTGTTTTAAAAAAATATTTTTCATCCCATCTGCAGTGTTAGAATGGAATAGAGCTCAGTTATTGTGGCAAATCTAGTCCCAAGCTCTTACATGATATATCTCTAGGGAGCCTCACAGATCCTTATAACTGTAAATGCTTGATAAGGAAATGAATGAATGAATGCATAGGGTTGAATTCTTGCATAGGGTTATAAGAATCACAGAGATGATGTAATTATTTGTGAGACACATGCCACCAACTCTTTTTATCTCAATTCTGTCATTTCACCAGTCTCAAAGTCAGACTGAAAGAGAGTGGATCCATGTTTATGCTTCAGTCCATCTCAGCTGAGCACTTAGGAAGGATTCACTAGTCCGGTCTATTCTATTACCATCTTTGTCCAGGCCACTCACTTCTCTCCTGGTCCAGTAGAGTAAACTTGTACAGGTTTCCCTGCAGTCTTATTTGCTTCCCTCCAACACATTCTTCCAGTGCCAATTTGCTGTTTAAAAATGTTAATTGGTTTTTGTTACTTTCTTGCCTAAACACTTACATGGTTACCTATTGCTCCTTGGATAAGAACTAAGATTCTTCTGGGAATGACCTGCAGAGCCCTGTGGGGTCTGATACGTACCCACCTCTCCTATCTTGACTTGAAGACCCATGGATCTTTGTTCACTTTCTTCAGCCACATTGTCATTTAACTCTTTTGAATATGTCTTGATCCTTTCCATCTCTGAGACTCCACATTTACTGTGCCTTCCATCTGGGATGTCCATCGCCTTACTCTTACCTGGTTAATTCTAATGCGTCACCAGCTCTCCATTAAAGTTACTGCATCACTGAAGCCTCCTCTTAGCCCATTAGCCCATTCCCTCAGTGCAAATCAATGTACACGTGCATGTGCGCGCGCGTGCACACACACACTCATAATAGCTCATCTCATAACTTGGCATACCCTCTCTCTTAATAGAACATGTTTCCATGTATAACTATGTGCTAGTTTGTATGACCAGTTGCTTAAGTGATTGGAAGGTATGGAGGGCACTGTTTACTTTACAAGTCTCTGCTTATTCCCAGAGACTAGAGGATAGCACATGATCAGTAAACATTTGTCAAATGAGCAAAAGAAAATGTATCTCAGCCCCGGCTGGCGTGGCTCAGTGATCGAGCATCAACCTATGAACCAGGAGGTCATGGTTTGAGTTCCAGTCAGGGCACATGCCTGGGTTGCAGGCTCGATCCCCAGTGTGGGGTATGGAGGAGGCAGCCATTCAATGATTCTCTCTCATCATTGATGTTTCTATCTCTCTCTCCCTTCCCCTCTGAAATCAATAAAAATATATCTTTTTTTAAAAAAAAAGAAAAAATGTACCTCAGGTTTCATGAACTCTAAAAGTCAAAGACATGAGTTCAATTCTGAGGGGCCTCAGGATATCACATACTACAATCCACAACAAAGATGATGATGATGATAATGATGATGATGATGACGACGACGATGATGACGACAATGACTCAATGATGAAATTGATGACCTACCAGTTATTGAGCTGTTGCAAGTCATTTGGCACTGAGCTAATAGGTTTTCATATATTTCTAAATCAACTCCCACATAAGTGCTGAGGTTCAGTGAGATCAGATGCCCTGTGAAGTCACAGAAAAAATGCCAAACCTTAGACTTGGAGCCAGGTCTGCCAAACTCCATAATCAGTTCCTTTTACAGTTCACCTCAGGCCTCTCCTTCTGACTATTTAGAAATAGTTTCCCTGCGGCCTGGGAATAAATCAGCAAGTCAGAAGACCTACTCTGTGGACGTGGGGCAGGGACATGATCCTGTGGACAAAGGAGCGAAAGTCATAAAGGAGGGAGCATGTCACAGAAAAAAAGGGGGTCCCGTGTGAAGGGGTGCAGGGGAGTTTGTCCCCCCCCCACTGGCTGAGATGTAAAAATGTTGCACACTGATGTTTTCTTGACAGTAAAAATGAGTTGTGATGGTGTGTTAAAGCATAGAAATATTAGAACATAGGGTGTAAGTTGTCAGAAAAAGAGTTAGCTTCTTTTGAGGATTTTGCCAAATGACTAGTAGAGAAAAGTTGAACTGCAGTTAAGCATCTGGTGAAACTTCATCCACATCTGCAGCTTTCCCTCCCCACCCCCACCCCAGCCCCAGTGAGATTCTTCCTGTGAAAATACCTGAAATGGCTAAGAAATCAATTATTTTTAAAATCTCATGATGGTTTTTCTCTTTTTTACCTGTTACTATTTTCCCAAAGCATCTTAAAAAGAATGCCATGAATTTAGTTTCTTAATTTTTTGAATGTTTGAAAAATTGCACATAAATTGCCTGAATAATAACTACATGTGAATGAGTGAGGCTTATCACTGCACTCATTTAAGAGAAAGGATGTGCTTAGCAAATAAAATAACTTTGATATCGTTGTAAAGAATGTTTAAACACTATAAAGAGAACAAGCCATTCTCCAGCACTTTACATACCAACTACTGATAAGCTTATTACAAATCACTTTTCTTTATTTACCAAGATATGTCCCTAGAGACACCTACTTGGCAACTCTATATGGAACTAATATATCTTCTTTAAAAGATAATCTGCATTTATTTTAAACTTTATGTAATTCCAAGCATTACAGATGCATACCGATAGGTGCATATTAGCCAGAATTAGGAAAGTGCCAATGTTTACATAATGCCTTCTACTTGGAAGTCTTCAAGGGCCACTGAATCTCAAGGTTCTTTTCTTTTTTTCCTGCTGCCTTTTTTTCTATGCCCCAGTTTCTAATGCATGACTCTGCTTACTGTAACTGAATGCTTGGATTCAGAAGAGAAGGTGTCCAGAGCAAAATCAACCTCAGCAGCAACAACATAACAAAAAGGGAATTGCATATTGAAGCTTAGATTTCCAATATTTTAGCTTCTAAAAGAACTGGCCAGCATTTAAAAACATTTTATTACAACAGAATGGTTAATGTCTATTATGCATGTCCTCCTGTATAGATATAGGAGAGAGATACATAAGTGTGTCTCTACATCTTGAAGAGCTTAATCTTGTTAGAAAAGCAAGATCTTCGTATGTATATTGATAGATCAATGGTGATTTTGCTTCCCCCATCCCCAGAACATTTGGCAATGCCAGGGGACATTTTTGGTTGTCACACCTGGTGGGTTTGGTTGGGGGGGGGGGGGTCTGACATCTAGAAATTATAGGTCAGGTATGCTGCTCAGCATCCTTCAATTTCCAGGATAGCCCCCCTCACCCCTACAACAAAAAGTTAACCAACCAAAGATGTCAGTAGAGCTGAGATTGAGAAACCCTGGTGCAGAGATTGATATGAAATTGCTACAATATGAGATCCTTAAAGGCAGGACTTTTGTGGTCTTTATCTCTGATTCTCCAGTATCTAGCCAAGAGCTTTGCACGTTTAAGCAGTTACTAAACATTTTGTAGTTGTATAAATGGATAAACAAACAGATGAGGAGAATTGAGGCATGAAACAGAAGGACAGCTAATCAGCATTTTCATTGATCTTCAAAAAACTAGTTATGGGGTTTGAGTGTTTCACTTACAGGTTAATTTCACAGCACTAGCCCCACTACTACTTCCCCAGTAACTGCCGTTGTTGGGAGACCAGTTTGCCGAGCAGTTTACATCATATGTGTCCAGCAATAAAGACACTGCAGATATTGATTAGATTACATGGCCTAGAGACGGTTCAATGTGTTGTAGGTCCACTTTGATATTCACATCTCCATGAAGTTTACATTTTTGAGCATTTTAAAAAAATGCTTACAATGCTTTTCCAACAGACTTTATTTTACTTTAATAATTTTTATTTCTTAGTTATTCTGCAATTAGTAAGCTCATGTGAATATCATAATAATAACTACTGGTCTTATGAAGCTAACATGTATAATGAAATTCATTATACTTCAGAAATTGCCCTGAGCACAATAAATTTTATCTACATCAGGAAAAAAGACACTCTAGTGATGGCGAACCTTTTGAGCTCGGTGTGTCAGCATTTTGAAAAACCCTAACTTAACTCTGGTTGCCATGTCACATATAGAAATTTTTTGATATTTGCAACCATAGTAAAACAAAGACTTACATTTTTTATATTTATTTTATATATTTAAATGCCATTTAACAAAGAAAAATCAACCAAAAAAATGAGTTCGCGTGTCACCTCTGACACGCATGTCATAGGTTCGCCATCACTGCATACAGAAATACTCCATATTCCCAGTGATAAGCTTAAAACAAATGTAACCAGCTTGAAAATATTTATTTTAGTGATGTAGACGAAATAGTTAAACATCTACTTAAAGAGTGTATCATTTTAGTTAAATATACTTAAAATTATATCTTATTAAATAATATATTAACTTAGAAGTATGCTTTTTCCCTTTATTTCATAAAACAATATTATTCAAATTTTTACATGCTTTTTTTATATTGCTGAGTCATTAGTTGATCATTTCCTTAAATTTCTACTGTCTACGTTGCTTCAGACACAGAGGTTTTAAACCGTATAAAGGTCTGTTCACTGGGATTTTATTTTCCTAAACCACAGCACTTATTCATGTATGATTATGAAAGGTTATTTTTTCTTCCTATAGATGATTATTCAAGATTTTCACAGTGGAACCACTTAGTTTATTCCTTTGTAAAGTGTTGTTTATAGGGCTCATTTATTTGCACATTTTGCCATTGGAAGGCCATCCTCTCACTCCATTCTCATGCCCCCTCACCCCCTCTATCTCCACTTTACTCCCATGAATGAGGCACAATTTAGAGGGGAAATACCTTACCTGGTATTTAGACAGACAGGACATTTTCTCATTCAGTCCTAACCACACCCTTTCAGTAGCCTAGTTGTTTACATCATCATAACATTATGAAGCTCGGGGTTGTGATCAACCCCGATGTAATATCCAGGCCATGTAGCTTGTAGAAGCTTGAGGACAGCCACACCCACGTCTCCCAGGTCCCAAAGGACAATCCACTTACCATTTACCTCAACAAGTTTCATGAGTGGAGACCGACTGTGGAGGAAAGTAGAAAACGGAAACAAAGAAGAAGTAACTTTCCTAATGATGCTTCTTCTCCCAAGCGCAATTTTCTTCCCAATCAATGTCTAAGGCACTTGCTCAAATGACTATATTTCTGATTTTATGCATTAGGCATTATTCATTTAATGATCCTTATATGTTAAGAAAGATTCATTAAAAAGGGTTAAATGCCATTTATGTACTGAATGCCATCAACTCCCAATATCAACATTAGGCAAAAATATTTAAGGTGTTTTATTTTAAAACCAAGCAACACTAACTAGGATTTTAAAACAAATTTGAGACGAAAATATTACTTTCATCAAAAGCCTCTGAGTGATTTGCTTTTCCATTAATGAACCTATTTGGTACAGCCTCCTAAAAGTGAGATTTGAGTGTTAGGTTTCCACATCAATAAAATTCCTCAATCACAGTGCTGGTGTGAGGTTGGAGGAGATAAAATATTTGAAGCACAGAGCACTAGGTATGATTCACAGAGAACACTGAGTCAAAGTTAGTCCCTCTGCCTTTGTTCTATTCTCTTCTGCTCATGTCTACATTCAGACCAACAGTGGTACTTGGGGGAAAGTATCAGAAGATGTAACAGTTCCGGATGGAAAATAAGTTAACATGAATATGTTTGTGACCTGCACCATTTGCAGGAATGTTAATTATCATTTAAAGATGATCTTAGAGGCTAATCCAAAAGCTACACTTTACAGGCTTAGTGATTGGAAGTAATTTTCTAAAGTAGTCGGTTAAGTGATAAAACTAAGGAAAGCTTATTTTAGAGAGCTTAGTGGTGCTGTGACTTTTTTAAAAAATATATTTTATTGATTTTTTTTCAGAGAGGTAGGGAGAGGGATAGAGAGTTAGAAACATCGATCAGCTGCCTCCTACACACTCCCCATTGGGGATGTGCCCTCAACCAAGGTACATGCCCTTGACCGGAATTAAACCCAGGACCCTTGAGTCCGCAGGCTGACGCTCTATCCACTGAGCCAAACCGGTTAGGGCAAGATGTTGTGACTTTAAAAAAAAAACTGTCAAAAAATTCAAGGGCTAAAGTGTCCAAAAACTTGATTACAATCTAGGATCTGGAATTCAATTATAGAACTTCCTTCAAAATTCCACTCCAGGCTGGTGTGGCTCAGTGGTTGAGCATCAACCTGTGAACCAGGAGGTCACAGTTCGATTCCTGGTCAGGGCATATGCCCGGGTTTTGGGCTTGATCCACAGTTTGGGGCATGCAGGAGGCAGCCAATCAGTGATTCTTTCTCATCGTTGATGTTTCTATCTCTCTCTCCCTTTCCCTTCCTCTCTGAAACCAATAAAAATATTTTTTAAAAAAACAACTCCACTCCACCCACTGGATTCGGGTTCTCAGTTCCATGCTGCTGAAGCCTGGACACAGTCAGCCAGCAGAAGGCAACACAGCTTCCTTTCTAAGTCCTAATCCTGGTTGGCAAGAATGCTGAACTTTGA